ACTACTTCACACCTGCACTTTTCCATTTGTTTACTAAACAACAGCAGTGTTTACACCTTTACAATCCTGCTGGCTGCACTCTCAAGTGCTTCCTTTTCTTTTGCAATGATAACTTAGCTGCAGTTGTTGTCATGGCTACTGGCGTTGGAGGCTGCAATGTCGCTTTCTTCAATGCTATTTGCAAATATTTGTCGACGATTGCAGCTGACGATGATTTATTTACTTTTCCTTTGGCATTTCCATATGTCGCTTTTGCTTTTTTCCTGCTCAAACTCAGTTTGTTGACTTTAATCTATCGACGCGGATACTTTCTTCTTCGGCTAGCATTGACTGGATGGCTACTCCAGTCGGTTTTGTGCATTTGCGGTGGTTGCATTGGTTACATTGGTTGCGGGCTATGACACACATTTTGGCGCATCTTTAAGTTGGGCAGGAATTAATTTCTTTTGTGGTTATTTGGCCAATACCTGGCTGGTATGCGGTGGTTTCTCTGTGTCAGTGGGAAAGGTTTGAGTTTTAAATATTCACAAATATGGCATACCAAGGTGGAGGTTAGACATAAATTTTATAGCTCTGTACATATGCATATAGGCCACATGTAAATAGGTTGTACATACATATTTTCACTTAAGTTCACTGAACTATAGCATTTCACAAAAATCAATGCTTTAATGAGCTTTATAAAATGACGTTCTCATAAATTTTTCAGTTTATAAACCTTTTTTAAAGCTACTTTAATTTTAGTTAATACCAGAATACACATTTTTTGAATTTTTAAATTGAATCATCGACAAAATTCATACATAAGTACGCATATGTTGAGTTGCTAATGTGTATTTATGTATGTATGTAGGTAGACGAACATTGCAAAATGGGACATTTGCGAAAATCAAACGAAACTTGTTTCCTAGCCAGATAGAGAATAATGTTAAAAGTGGATGTTTTTGTTAATGAAAATTTATCGTAATTTCCAACAACCTTTAATTTCATATTTCTAGCTCAGCTTAAATCAGCCTTGCGCCAATTTTCCTACTCGCTGCCTTAAAAGGCAACAGAGGCCAGGCTAATTTTGCGCAACAAGCAAGTATATCGATAAAAAAAAAAATCATTAAATAGTAGCTAATGCTTAAATTTTATTAGTTAATATTTTGCCATAGCCATTTAAGTTGTGACACCTGCTGGCGTCTACACCCACAACGTCTACTACTCGTACAACTACTAGCTGAGATTACCATTTTTGTTCGTTGATGTTTTCACTTTCCAAATGGTAGCTAACAAGTTGAATGAAAAAGGCATACGAAGTATTACTACATACGTATATATTTATTGATGAAACTGTGTGAACTGAAGAGCTTTTAAATGATGCGTCAGCCCTAATAGCGCACAAGTAGTATGCATGTGTAGGTAGCGGTCGCAAATGGTGCGATTTTTTAGCATCTGATTAATGGAATAAGCTCTAGAAAGGGATAAAGAAATTTCACTTTAATGTGGGTGTGGATTCTTAGCCCTTTTTTACATAGAACTTAAAATGGAAACTACTATACAAATTTTAAATATGCGTATTAGTGGAGAAAATACCGTATTTAAATTTGTTTCAAACTCGAGAAAAAATATTTCATGGTAACTAATAAAAATATTTTGGTGTTTAAACTACTTCGCTTTAAATGTTATAACCTTCAGCAATAACAGATGCTTCTACCTGGAAATAAGTACAAGTTTGGAGCCCCTGGGACTTGCCGTTGATTTTGAGCAATTTTTTTCTGTTGAAGAAGTTGTTCATTTTCACTGTATAAAAAATCGTCGAGCCTACTGAAGACTTGAAAAATGTCTAATTATTTATATCGAGAAAAATAATTAGTTCACTTTTCAACAAAAGACTTAGGCATCGAACTTGAGAGTATTTTTTGCGAATTGTGCTTAACAAAACCGCAATTTTGAAATTTCGTTTGATTCATACAAATAGTTTTAGATCACTTTTTTTACTTTAGCAATTCATAAAACTTCAAATTGTTGCCGATTATGCTTTTGTATATTATTTGGTTCAGCCTTTTTTCATTAGAAACCTTCCATATTCTAAAGAAATTTTAACAAAAATGTGGGAGAAACGTTGAAAGTATCAAAATGTCAAACTCTTCTTCTCATCTTCTTGCCATATTATAAAGCTAACAAATGAACTTTGACAACAAAAGCCACTAGAATAGAAGATATATTTATAGAAATAAAAGAAGCCATAAAAATTTGAACAAATAAAGCGACAATTTTTTTCAATTTTAAACGCATTGTGCTAAATGTTTACATATTAACGCAATTGTTGACGTTTAAGTACATACTTACATACATATATATTTAAGTACGTATGCGCATGTGTATGTAAGAATAGCGCACTGCTTTCGCAATTTCCACTTGTGGACAGTTGTATGCCGCCGGCTGAGTGCTGTCGGTCAGATTGGCGGCTGTTTTTTTTTTATTGTTGCCTCGCGTTTTCTTACTTTTTTCGCTAACACAGTTTTCAGTTTGTTTTGCCACTTACAAAAATGCATGCATACATACATACACACATAGAAATATATGACTACGTGTTTTGCTGATGCCAACACTTGCACCCATTCCGCTGAGATACGCACTGGCAGCTGAATTAGCTGAAGTAAGTATTTAAGTAGTCGGCCGGCTGGTCAGTGCGTCTACCTTTTGGACCAATGTACTCTGCTCGTGAACTGTTGAATTGAGTCTGTTGTTGATTTAGTTGTAATGTTACCTGACCTTAATATGTAGAGTACAATTAAATGATGAAAAATAACAAATAAAATGCGTGCGTGTGTGTGTGTGTGTGTGTGTGTATTTGTATTTGTATGGAAGAAATTATTTATCTTAATTTACACAATTAGCGCTAAAATTCAGCACAGATTTGTTGGTGCGGTTACCGGGTAGAGCTTAGATCTGCTTCACCTCTAATTTTCTTAAATTCCAAATATACTCTCGTAGTTTTCAAATTACAAATGCCAAAATATCTATTCATTTTATGCCATTCGCTTACGCATAAGACTAGGTGAAAAAAGTTGCATTGCTTCTGCTTGTGCCAAATGCATTACCCTCTTTTTTTTTGTCCCAACTTGCTGCCCACCTCAATTCGCGATAGGCTTCCATGTAAGTATGCATGTGTATGTATGTGTGTCAGTTCAAGCGTAGGTGGCAAATGAATTTAAGCAGCTTAGACGCAGACAGCAATAAAACAAATTCACACATAAAATTGCTCCAAATAAATTATTAAATTGAATACCATTTGAATGGAAAAGCGCACTTTTTTCCTTTTCTGTTTTCTTTTCGATGTTGTTGTTGTTGTTTTAATGTAGCCCAAGAGGAAGGGCAAAAATGATGATAAATTCACTGAAAGTATGAGTTTTCGCAGACAATGGCGAAGAAATGAGGAAAAACGCATTGGAAATTAGCCCAAGCGGCGAATGCCATGCCATGGGTGTGGGTGAGAAAAAGTCAAATGATTTCAATGAAGGTAGGAAGAATGTATGAATAAGTAAATATGCGCTTATGAATATGGAGGCCAAACAGTTTTATGTTGTTGAAATAAATTTCTTTAAAAATGCTTTTCTTCTTTTTTTTTTGTTTATAACATTGCTTTGAACAATCCCATTCAACGCAAGTTCAACTTCATCAGTTGGTGCCGCTGTTAATTGACTGACTGGTGTTTGAAGGAATCATTTACTTCAATATCTATACATACATACATACACACAGGCGCACGTGTGCAGACACACCTACATACATATGTATTTCTATATATGCTGGCGTGAATTGAACCATCAGCATTTGCCTATCAACAATAAATTATTGCCAGCGCTTAACTCTGCAAATGAACACCATAAAGTTTATAAACAATAATAATTTTATTTTTTATTTTTAATGGCGTGTTGACGGCTACCAAAATTACCTTGACATTTTTTCTGTCATGCTTGTTACTTGCANTCCACTTGTGGACAGTTGTATGCCGCCGGCTGAGTGCTGTCGGTCAGATTGGCGGCTGTTTTTTTTTTATTGTTGCCTCGCGTTTTCTTACTTTTTTCGCTAACACAGTTTTCAGTTTGTTTTGCCACTTACAAAAATGCATGCATACATACATACACACATAGAAATATATGACTACGTGTTTTGCTGATGCCAACACTTGCACCCATTCCGCTGAGATACGCACTGGCAGCTGAATTAGCTGAAGTAAGTATTTAAGTAGTCGGCCGGCTGGTCAGTGCGTCTACCTTTTGGACCAATGTACTCTGCTCGTGAACTGTTGAATTGAGTCTGTTGTTGATTTAGTTGTAATGTTACCTGACCTTAATATGTAGAGTACAATTAAATGATGAAAAATAACAAATAAAATGCGTGCGTGTGTGTGTGTGTGTGTGTGTGTATTTGTATTTGTATGGAAGAAATTATTTATCTTAATTTACACAATTAGCGCTAAAATTCAGCACAGATTTGTTGGTGCGGTTACCGGGTAGAGCTTAGATCTGCTTCACCTCTAATTTTCTTAAATTCCAAATATACTCTCGTAGTTTTCAAATTACAAATGCCAAAATATCTATTCATTTTATGCCATTCGCTTACGCATAAGACTAGGTGAAAAAAGTTGCATTGCTTCTGCTTGTGCCAAATGCATTACCCTCTTTTTTTTTGTCCCAACTTGCTGCCCACCTCAATTCGCGATAGGCTTCCATGTAAGTATGCATGTGTATGTATGTGTGTCAGTTCAAGCGTAGGTGGCAAATGAATTTAAGCAGCTTAGACGCAGACAGCAATAAAACAAATTCACACATAAAATTGCTCCAAATAAATTATTAAATTGAATACCATTTGAATGGAAAAGCGCACTTTTTTCCTTTTCTGTTTTCTTTTCGATGTTGTTGTTGTTGTTTTAATGTAGCCCAAGAGGAAGGGCAAAAATGATGATAAATTCACTGAAAGTATGAGTTTTCGCAGACAATGGCGAAGAAATGAGGAAAAACGCATTGGAAATTAGCCCAAGCGGCGAATGCCATGCCATGGGTGTGGGTGAGAAAAAGTCAAATGATTTCAATGAAGGTAGGAAGAATGTATGAATAAGTAAATATGCGCTTATGAATATGGAGGCCAAACAGTTTTATGTTGTTGAAATAAATTTCTTTAAAAATGCTTTTCTTCTTTTTTTTTTGTTTATAACATTGCTTTGAACAATCCCATTCAACGCAAGTTCAACTTCATCAGTTGGTGCCGCTGTTAATTGACTGACTGGTGTTTGAAGGAATCATTTACTTCAATATCTATACATACATACATACACACAGGCGCACGTGTGCAGACACACCTACATACATATGTATTTCTATATATGCTGGCGTGAATTGAACCATCAGCATTTGCCTATCAACAATAAATTATTGCCAGCGCTTAACTCTGCAAATGAACACCATAAAGTTTATAAACAATAATAATTTTATTTTTTATTTTTAATGGCGTGTTGACGGCTACCAAAATTACCTTGACATTTTTTCTGTCATGCTTGTTACTTGCATAAGCTTAATACTTATTCCAAACTTCATCACCTTGCACCCGACTGTTTAACTAAGCATACATATGTATATGAATCGACGTACTACATGTGTGTGTGTGTTTGTATACACGTATGTATGTACATTCATGCATAAGAATATTTGCTTATTTATGAATTTATGGTTTAATGTAATCACATTAAGTGCTCAAGTTAAGTTTGTAGATAATTTTGTAGACACGAAATTCTGCAGAGTCTTGATTTCTTGTGGCTTGCATATGTATTTATATAAGTACAGATACAGTGACTCAAACAAATGATCAAGTGTTGGTTTCGAGCAAATTTTTTTTTTGTTATTTTAAATTTAGGGCAATTCAACAAATTCTCATCAAAATTTCAACTTTTCAATCTTAATCCTTAGAACCTTTTTGGGTACGCAGTTTTATGGCCCATACAATTTTAGTCTAACGAGGTGCAAGTTTCAAACGGCGAAAAATTCCCATTGATTTATAGGATTTTTTTTTTTGTGACGGATATTTGCACTTCTTCCAAATAAGCATAATTTCTTATGAAATAAAATGCGGGCGACCTTTAGCAACGAAATTGAAAAAAATCACCGCCAGTTTTTGCAAACTGCACTTGTTATATAAAAAAAAAAGGCGCAAAAGCAGTCTCAAAAAAAAAAAATCGAAAAAATCAACACAATTTTTTGACAATTGAAAGTTGCACTTCATTGGACTAAAATTGTATGGGCTCTATAAAACTGCATATTCAAAAATGTTCTAAAGATTCAGATTAAAAAGCTGAAATTTTAATGAAAATTTGATGAATTTTCCTAAATTATGTTTGAAGTTTGAAACTGTAATTATATGTTCTGGTTAAATAATTAGCTCGAAAAATATTACTAATATTAAAAAAAAATCAACACGTGGTCATTTATTTGAGTCACTGTATGCATTTATTTAGATATTTTTTTACGACATTTCAGTTTTATAACAAGCCACTTTTATATTTATGTTGCATTCAATATGAGTGGAATTTAAGTTTTCATCGCTCTTATGCAGATTTATTATATTTACATAACTCATTGGCAAAACTTACCTTTGATTACACCCATGAATTTAGTACTTTGGATCCTTAGGCTCTCCCTCATAGATTTCCTCTTGAAAGGTACTGCAGTCGTCGGGTTGCCTAATCTACCCGTAGTTGGAAATCGTATGAGAACCCTGACGTCAAAGACCTAGAATGACGTACTCGTAATGTGATTTGCCCCGGCATCTAAAACAGTCATTCAAGCTCCCACCGCAATTGTGATTCCCTCATTATATGGCCACCAGTAATGAAGATTTGTGGCCGTTGTGAATTTCGCTTCATTGGTTACGGAAATATTTTGATATTACGTCCAATATTCAAAACAACCGTTAATTGAGCAAAGTCTTCCGTAAGTGTGCCCGATAAAAATTAAATACCATTTTTATGCTTTTTGTAGTTGCGACACTCTTTTAGCCACGCAATCGATATCACTCACCCGATAAATTCCAAAAGTAACGATTTATAACTATAGTACAACGAGCATAAGTTACGCCAAATAATAAAACAAACAAAAAAAAATCTCTTACATTTGCAATAACAACAACGAGAGAAACATAAATTTCGCTGCATTTACACAAATTTCGAGTATTTTGCATATTTTTGCATGTAAATATTTGCTAAGAAACTGCTGCGTGTTGTTGTTGTACTAGCTTACGAGCGAAAAACTGCCCAAATAGATTTATTGTTTCAAATTTGCGTGTGGCTGTTGTACGAGTATGTTGCATGTGCAACATGTTGCTGACGTTGTTTTTCTATGGTCTGGTCCGCTGTACACTGCTCTCTGCTGTCTGCTGTCTGCTGTCAATCACAAACCAAAGCCCAAACATATTTGATGCAGACAGTTGGACAAGAATGGCAACAACAGACAGCCGAAATATAAAACACGCACACACGTACATACATATGCATAAATTTATATCTCCATATGCATGTAGTACCTATAAAAATTCAGCAGTTAATTTTTTAAAAGTGTTTATTGAAAATTCGACTGACTGCGAATTGCGTGGGTGTTTGTAGTAATATATGAATAGCAAAAACAACAACAACCACAACAGCAACACAAGTCAACGTTAGTGCTAATAACAAAAATGGTTTGAGGAAAGAAAAGCCCTACTCGCTTGGCATAGCATGCAACGCGCCAAATGCCAAATGCGGATATGTGGCAACTTTAAGCAAATTTCAGTCAAACGCCGTCATTCAAATACACAGTCACATATATACATACATACATACCCTGTGGGGAAAATCTCTAGTTTTGAACTTGTGCGCTTCTAGTACATTAAGAACCACTACTAGTTCGCGATAAATCTCTTTTGCATTCAAACAACTGGCGAATTTAACACGGCGATGTCATAGGAATTGGAAATTGTCCCCCGCTGCATTACCTTTTCTATAGTTCAGAACCAGTCCTAAATTCGACATATGGGATCTAGTTCGTTTTGCAACCCATTTTCTATAGTTTCGAACCAGTTGTAAACGAAAAAAGTAACAAGATGTTTTTTTTTTGGGTTACCATGGTAGCAATTTTTATTATTTGCAGAGAAATGTATTTTCAATTTGAAATTAGATTTGTTTGAATGAATGTAAATTAAATTTTGCATTTGAAAACACGTTTACATACCTTTGGCTGTAGCTGAATTTGTAGAGGTGCTGACTGTTATTGATTATATTCCAGAAGCTCCCAAAATGTTAAGATGTTAACAGAAGTTTTAGTTTTGTATTACCAAACTATGAAAAAGCATCTGCGACGTGCAGACTGGAAGCGTATTTGAACGAAAAACCCGCCAAGCAAAAATCTATTTAAAGTAAACAAGCCCCCGCTGCATCCCTTTTTCAGTGGTTTCGAACTAGTTCAAAATTTCCAGATGAGATCTAGTTCGTTCTGCATCCCTTTTTCTATAGTTTTGAACCAGTTCTAAATTCGTCATTTTAGATATAGATTTCTAAGATTGTTTTTTAAAAGTACCACATATCGCTGCTTTTGAACTGGTGGCGATCTAGTAACTATCGGACTGGTTCGTTTTTGACGATAAAGATCTAGTACGGGACTACANAAGAACCACTACTAGTTCGCGATAAATCTCTTTTGCATTCAAACAACTGGCGAATTTAACACGGCGATGTCATAGGAATTGGAAATTGTCCCCCGCTGCATTACCTTTTCTATAGTTCAGAACCAGTCCTAAATTCGACATATGGGATCTAGTTCGTTTTGCAACCCATTTTCTATAGTTTCGAACCAGTTGTAAACGAAAAAAGTAACAAGATGTTTTTTTTTTGGGTTACCATGGTAGCAATTTTTATTATTTGCAGAGAAATGTATTTTCAATTTGAAATTAGATTTGTTTGAATGAATGTAAATTAAATTTTGCATTTGAAAACACGTTTACATACCTTTGGCTGTAGCTGAATTTGTAGAGGTGCTGACTGTTATTGATTATATTCCAGAAGCTCCCAAAATGTTAAGATGTTAACAGAAGTTTTAGTTTTGTATTACCAAACTATGAAAAAGCATCTGCGACGTGCAGACTGGAAGCGTATTTGAACGAAAAACCCGCCAAGCAAAAATCTATTTAAAGTAAACAAGCCCCCGCTGCATCCCTTTTTCAGTAGTTTCGAACTAGTTCAAAATTCGCCAAATGAGATCTAGTTCGTTCTACATCCCTTTTTCTATAGTTTTGAACCAGTTCTAAATTCGTCATTTTAGATATAGATTTCTAAAATTGTTTTTTAAAAGTACCACATATCGCTGCTTTTGAACTGGTGGCGATCTAGTAACTATCGGACTGGTTCGTTTTTGACGATAAAGATCTAGTACGGGACTACAAATTTGGTTCACCAGTTCGGGGTTTCCCTACAGGGTAAATATGTGTAAGTTTATATGCGCACTGTAAAAATCGCGACTACTCGATGAATGCATGTAAAGAGTACTCGCTCAGGGTCCAGGAGTACTCCAAACTTAACCGAAATGCATATAAAAAATGTGGTCCAATTAATATTGCCATGTACTAGGGCTCTGCAGCTCTGCATTATATCAGGAGGGTAGCACAAACCCATTTCAAGGAGTACCTACCTCTTGGCAACACAACATCGTTAAAGCACGAACAATGATCGGGGTTGGTCCACTACCACATTGCAGAGGAGCATTTTGTAGGTACTCCAGTTGCGGCACAAATGCACCACATGGTCCGACGATTTTTGCAGGGCGGCTAAATTTCTGTGTGTGTGTGAGCGTGTGTGCTCGCGTGTATGTTGAAGGAAATCATTTAGCAGGAAAAAGCGAAAAATGCGAGTCAAATGTTTGCATTTACAATTCAATCATCATTTAAGCAGCCAGCAGCCAAACAGTCGGCGGTCGCGGCATTCACCGTAGTACGTCGCTTGGCCGTTGGCAGTCAGCAGCCAAACAGGCGTTGAGGTATGCGATGATGGTTGATGGAATTGTGGCAGACGCCATATTAGTGGGCGTCCCGCCACAATGATTTCCTAGTTTAGTTGTTGCTGTTGGTGTTGTTGCTGCTGCATTCAATACTCTTATCGCTTGTTTGTATACGTTTTAGTTTTTCTCGAAATTGGCTGCTGCATCACGCTGCATTAGGCAATACCGCTCGATTGATTGGTTTGACTGTTGATGGCTTGAACTCTGCTGCTAAAATTGCTTAATGAGCGGACGCACGTGTATGAATGTTTGCAACATTCCCAGACACAAGTGCTGGCACATATGTATGTACTTACTTATGCATTTATAGATATGCGAAGTTTTATGTTTTTATTTATTTTTTTTTGTTTTATCTGTACCATCCTCATTGGCGTATTTTTAATTACACTTACATTTTTATATCTTGCATTTAAGTAAACTTATGCACATATCTTAATGTTATGTGTGTGAGTGTGTTTTATGGCGCACGTGTTTTGGTAGCAGGTGATGTAAGGATGAGGTTGCATCATAGTGCAGTTGCATAATCGTAGTTGTTTGATGGCTGTGAATAAATTTGTTGATATTTTTAAAAAAGATTATGATTTCCTGTTGATTGTTTTCTCGGATTTCCTGCAGAATACATAGTGTCTTAATTGATTAAAAAAAATATTGTACTCTGGGTTCTTCCCGCTTGTTTTGGTATTTTGTGTAAACTACCATCAAAGGTTTTGAAATTATTTAATTTTATTTTTTACAATCATTTTATGGTATACAATTTCTCTTATATATGAAAATGTTTAACTTAAGTGACACAAAAATGAGCGGCATGTTCCGTATATTCATTTTTATATATTTCTTTCCTGGTTGGACTTGATTTGCAAGCCATTTTCTTGCACTTTTCTTTTGCTGGTAGATTTGGTAACTGATGCCATTCGGCTTTTAGATATGAATATCTATTGAATAACCAATGACGGTATTTTCACCATTCTGACCATTCTATCAGTTCCTATCGCTTCCTGCGCTAATTACTATGTCCAAGAACTTCTTTGAATCCTACATTTTTCAAAGCCTTTCAATGAAAACAGTGGCTTTTACGGCTGGAACCTTGCTATTTAAAAAAAAAACTACCTTTACCATAACCAAAATCTCAGCTTGGAAGACGCTACAGTTACCTGGCACACGAAAAACCTAACTGGCCGGTGCCGGTTCCTTGATCCTGTTTTGAAGCACTAGTGAGGAAGTATAATCCATCCTATTTTCCAGTTCTTAAACCGAATAGATATCCTTGCATTTAGCTCCTAATTGCAAGAGTGCTTTGTAAACAGTGCTAGCTTATAAGTATTGGATTCTTGATTTCATAAAGATATTTCTTTCCGACTGAGTCGAAATCTATTTTTTAACATTACAATTTAGATGGCTGTACTGCCTTACTATTACTGTAACCCTATACAATTTTTATTTGTGACTATCGTCAATGTAAATGGAGGCGTTTTCAAAACCAGGCTAGACCATAGCTGCACCTCTAAGTAGCAAGTCCTCATTGTCATACTCTAACTTCATAGGATCAAATCTCGCACACCTCAAGTTGTCAAATTGCCATTTTCCCGATGGCAGACTCATTTGTGGTTAACCGCACTCGATACTCTAAATCCCAATAAAGATTTATGGATCGCAAAACCAAGCTCGAAGCAACAGGTGGAAATTTGAATGAAATTCTCGATTGTCTCTCCATGACGATAAAGAGCACGACGATCCTAAAACTTTGATGACTGTGGCCTCTTCTCAACGACGGAAGAAATAGTGTCACGTTCGACAAGCGCCATTTTCGTCATAGTCACAATGCCTTCTTCGGCAAAAAGCTTGTTGTTGCAAAAATAGGAGTATCAAGATCAGATGTTTCACAGTCCCATAATCCAGTTTCCCCATTTTATGCTCTGGATCAAACAGCGCAGTCGCAACAGAAAAGCATAATACCTTCAATAACAAGTGCTAGGGTTATGGCCGTACCCTAGCAATCTTCCACGAAATCACAATATCAATCGACTTGGGAAGGCACCTCAAACTCGTTACCCACGGGAAATACCCCAGGCGCTATATAAGCTCTGCGAACTCAGAAGCAAATGGAGATTACCCAGCAAACAAACACAACCTCAGCTGCTTACTTAAGCACCCGTTCTGAAACCCCATAGCAGTGTAGACATCGCTTTCCAGAAAACGATCGCCTTCGTTATGCGAGGACCGGTTTTACCTCCCTCTATCTCGGAGATGTGTCACTGAACCTAAAAATCGTTCGCCACATCCTCTCAGAGACGGATCTTTTTTTGTATAGTATATTTAATTTACCTTCAATGTAAATATTATGAATCTTAAATAATTAAAGAAAATACAAATTAAAAACTCGTCTCTTTTATTTTGAACGGAAATAAATTAATTATAGTTGCTATTTATTCGCCAAAGCGTGTACAGCCCTTTACTTTCGAATATATTAAGTCCGTTATTTAAATTTTTTGCGTGAATACATATTCTTATAGATACATACATATAAGCAAACATATTTTTTTTCATTCTCTGACTATTTTTTTTTTCGTTTGTCTTTTTGCAGGCGAAAAAACTCAAGGATTTTGAGCTGATCAATAATACAAAGAATCTACAAAATAATAATAAGTCGACCAAGCCTGAAATAGGCAATTCAAATGATAAATCAAGTGCCGCTATTACAGCGGCAAAAGCAACTACAACAACAACAAATGGGATTGCAAACAAAATACTCAATGATACACAAACTAATCTCAAATTGAAACAATTACAAAATGTTAGTCTTAATTTAAATGTAAATGTCGATAATGAACAAATTCATAATAATATCAATAACAACAACAACAACTACAACAACAACACAACGTCATCAAACAAATCATTAGTCATAATAAGTAATGAAAATTGTAACAATTTACTAAAAACAACAGAATATGTGCCAGTGCAACAACAAAAAGAGAGAGAGCGCGCAGAGGAGAGTTCAACTGAAATAATAACCAAAACCACAACAACAACAACACAAACACCTGCAGAAACAACAGCGGTTAGCACGACTGCAACTAACAATATGTGCACAACAACAACGGTCACAACAACAACCACACAAACAGCTGAAGCGGATAATCGACATCACAACGATATGCACGACGAGAGAATGAAGGTAAATTTGGAATGGTATTTTATCTTATTTATGTAATTATTTAAGTATATAAAGTCTTCTATTGAAATGTTTTTCTTTTCATTCTGCGCAGGACAATCACTCCGATTCGGATTCGGCTCTCTCATCAGCGCCACCATCCATAAGTCCACAGCCGCCGCCAGCTGGACTGGACACAGCTGATATTTGGCAAATGGTGAGTGTGCAGTTAATTCTCTGGTTATGCCATTTTCGAATACAAAAATCGCTGAGTAAAAAGTAAAGTGCAAAAAAAAAACGATAAAACGTGTTGCGCACGTCAAAACAAGTTTGCCGCTTAAATCTTTTGATTAACGCAAACGTACATACTTTTTGCGTACACATGTCCATACATATGTATGTCTGTATATATTCACTAAATGAGTGATGAAGGCAAGCAGCGGATAATCTATAGCGTCACAACAAAAGCAAAAGTGATTATTCGCTTTTCTTTTTCTTGTTTTTTGTTTGCCTGAACAATTTGAATAGGTTTTACTATCTTCTGCTATGGCGGCGTTCACTTTTGGCCGATGACAATGCACTTCAACCGCGAATGGCACACTTGATCGTACAGATCCGGCTAGTGCATTCATTCCCTTTGTATTAGTTAGTGTGCATATACTTTTGTTTTTTGTTTTTTTTTTTGTTTTCGCTTAGCCTAGCACACGACTTGCACATGCTCTTTGCGGCAGGTTTTTGCTGTTGCCTTCCATGAGTTGTGTTTTTTGCATTAATTAAATTCGTCGTTGATAAGAAATACTGATTATTCACTTTCTTTTATCGCTTTTCCATCACCAGTGGCTAAATAAAAACGTTCAGCAAAAAGAAAGTAACTAAAATATAGAATTTATAAAAAGAGGCAAACTGCCCCTGAACCCGATTTTTTTTTTTCATAAATAAATTCCATGAGCCTAAAACATCTTTTTAAAGTCCCGTATGCAGGTTTCAAGAACAATCGCAAGAAATATTTTTCATTGTTTCTGTTGCTGGGAAAAGTACTTTTTCTTAAGAGCTGCATACTGATTTAAGGAATTTTGAAAAAACAAAACTTCTTTTCATTTCTTGTGATTTTTTAGTTTTTCTTGAGTGCTGCAGACAGACCTTAATACATACGTACTTACGATGGGTGTAAAAAGTTAATTTTTTCTGCAAAATCCACGCTGACAACACTATATGGATGAAACAAGTGCACTGAACTACAAAATTTCAAAATTTCATAAGTTCCTGGATCCAGGATTGATAAGCAATCTTTCGCGAATAAAGTATATAAAATAATATTATGAAACTAAAACCTTGGAGCTGTTCAGGATCTTGTGCGTATGCTCCTGCATTTGCATATTCGGTGCATTTGTAAATTCACAACAATAAAATGCACACGATTACTATTGTAGCAAGCATAAAATTTGCTAATGCAATGCCAACTGCAAATCTAATACCTTTTCCACAATATCCTGATTCTAGATTTTTTTTATTTTTAAATAGTTGCACTTAAAATATTCAAATAAAAAGGGATATCAATAACTGCGAAACGTAAAGAATCGCGACCGAAACTTTCTGGGGTTTACATATATGCTTGTGTTGGTTGATTTTACCAACAGCGTAAGAAGTACTAATGTATTTTGGAACGAACTTCTGTAATCCCTTGCAGCTTTTTATTATCTTCGGTATAATTTTTCGCTTTCGAATGAATTCTAATCCTTTCTCTTGAGCCAGTGTACCTATACAAAACAATCAGAAAATTTATTATTCTTTACAATTACATGGAAGTGAAGCTTCGCCGATGCAAGCACTTAAAAGTATAAGCAAGTCTTAAATTCAAAGCCATATGCCCTTTCTTTAATTTGCCTCATAATTTTTAAGAAATCTTATTGCTAGAATGAAAATTATGTAAAACTTATTCGTAGTGTACGGTTGCGTTTTGTTTCCATCAAAACAAAGATAAATAATCATTATATAGCTAACTAATCGTAACTAAAGACGACATATAATTTAAGAGTTCTTTGCTAGATGATTTTCTTTGATTTTTTTTAAGGAACTACGAAAAAAACAATGCTTCTGAATACTTCATATTTTTTAGATGTAATTTAAACATGAAAGGCGCACAGCTTCTATTTAATTAGCAATTTTTTGTATGTACTCTTTGTGTGGGCTTTTGCCCACTGACAACAGCAGTATCTTTATCTAAAGCCACCACCAAGTAAAACTCCAATTGAATGGTTAAGCCTTAAGATAAAAATACACAATGCAACAAATTCTCCACTGAAATAAATGTTTTTCTACACCAATAAAAGAATAATATATCGAGGGCTTATAAACTTCTTTCTGTCATCACTAAAATTAATTTTAACTTTACAATTCTATAACAAATTCTTCATACAATCGATATACAAGGTCAACATTAACATCAGTGATGACTATTAAGCTAAGGATTTTTATATCAGAATCTCCTTTTTATGAAAATTGCAGATAATATTGAATATAAGCCCTCGACATGTACACACACATTTGGTGCCTACACATATACAGACTTGTATTTTTTGCCGCCTGTTAATTGACACTCGGAGGTTTGACTTGTCATCCAACTTTGATCTTATCGACTGCTAGTAAGCAACTCTAACCACTCGCCTAAATCGCTTGTCTTTTTTTGCACAAATCGCTGGCTGGCTGGCTTCATTTTCACCCATATACTCATCCTGTCGTGATTTGTTATTCAAATCGGGATAATATCCTAATTTTAACTCTACATCCCTTCGGAATAAAATTCTTAGATTTTTTGTTGCACAGTGTCACACATACATACATGTGTTCTTAAAAAACAAGAGTAGACGTTCCGATCCTTTTAAGTTTTTTATTGCCGCCGACCAAAATTGTGTAAATCAGTGTGGCGAAAAAGTGCCTGGCAATTATTTCAGGAATTAGTGTTTTCGGTGTAATGCGTGTTTTTTTTTTCTTGTCTTCTCTTTGTGGCACTAGAAGTGAGATTGTAAAGTGATATACAATTGTATATGCATGTGCATGACTGTACTTACTCTATGCGTAGATGTGTTTGTGGCTGTGTGATTGAGAATTGCCGCAATCAGTAAATTGCCATAGAGTCAGCTAAGAAGCCAGCCAGAGTGGCAGCTTACGCCAAGAAAGTCAATCAGACAGACGCGCCGCTGTTGGTCGCGCAACACTCTTTGCAACCCATTGGCCTAACGAGTATGCGGCGAGACAAAGTTAATGGCGATTTTTATGGCTGCTCGTTAATGAACCTGTGAGGCTGGCTGTAAAGGGGCTGCATATGAACAAAGAGTGCAATAAAAAGCGCAAACATGTGTGTGAGTGATGTTATGCAAAGCCACAGCATAGCAAGTATAGATGACAAAAGCGATTTTATGTTAAGTAAAGCTTTTGTTAAACAACATTTTGAGAAAATTGCGTTCATGTTTTTCAAGTAGTAAGTGCGCCAATTTTTTGCATTAATAACAATTTCTTGTAAATTTTGCCGTAATCGCTTGCAGTGAGACACCTGAGAAAATTTATATCTAAATGTTATTTCAATTCTTACTCCGCTTAACATTTACAGATTCGCACCTACAGCACTGATTTGCAAAAACTGCAAAAGGATAATGAAATCTTGCAGAAGGAAAACGAACATTTACATGCGGAGCTGAATTTGGCCAAGGAGCATATACTCGATGCCGAAAAAACCAGCATGGATGTGAGTTTTATATATTTACATATTTGTGCTTTGAATTGCAATCTAATTTTTCTGCTTCAATTCAACAGATCAACAATAATGCCAAATTACAACAACTCATGGCACGTGTGAAACAACTCGAGGAGCAGGAACATCAATTGAGCACGGAGGCGGATGAGTTGCGCGAACAAAATGAACTGTTGGAATTCCGGATACTCGAATTAGAGGAAACGAATGATAAGGTAAGTAAAGTGGCTTTAAATGTGCGCCTGAATGTAGGCAATAGTGGATAGTAAGATGAATGAAGAACTACAAGCTGTGCGAGTAGGCAATTGAAATCATTAACAGAGCTGTGAACAGTGAATTTAGCCGCTGTTAAGCGTAAGTCTGTAAAGCCGGCACAGAGAAAACTAATGAAAACATAGAAAATATAAAAAAGCTATGTGAATAGTGAAAATGACATTTTTGCGTCGCCGGTACAGCTAAAACTCAGATCGAATATTTTGCGAAAGAAAGTGGAACAATTTCCTGGAATCCAGAAGTTCTTAGCTCATTCATGGAAAAAAACAAATTTGACATGTCGTCGCTACCATGTCAAACTATCGAATGTGCAAAAATGCTTTTTCATTTACGATACCTTGCGCATGCGGGTAGAATCATATGCATGTTGGCAAATCGTAAAATTTCTAGTCTTATTTGAAGCAGAGGATACAAAGTGTCGAATCCCACACTTTTTCCGAATGACAACAACATTTTTTACAGCCGTTTTTTTGCTATCCTAAAAAATACACATTTCCACATTCGATAATTTGACATGGTAGCGACGATGTCTTCACATTATAAAGAATTTTTATTCCATTTAATTGTTAAGGAATTTTGAGTTTTAGTATGAATTCAGAAACATTGAAAGGTTGAGAAATGTTTATTGGGAAACAATAAAATGTGCAGGAAATTGCACTTTTTTCTTAATGGGTGATTTTAGCAGCATCGGCCCATTATTTGTGCTTTTGTATTTCTGGGCTAATAAGGCGGCCCTGAATCGCGGCATTCGTAATGGAATGATTACTCTTTTCGACTCGAATCGAATAAATTCCCCAATTATATTAAAAATAATGTAGCGCACTCGGCAAAAAATGCAACCGTGTATGTATGCCTGATCAATACCTAACTTTTTAGCTTCCAATATGGCTAAAAACTAAACCCTAAGAATTTGGTGCAAAAATATATTGACATTTAGAGGACGTTTTGTGCCTCCGCATCAAGTGTTTAAAATTACTCTTCCTTCAATGCTTGCGCGCACGAAATCCTTCTAACAATTTGTTTTCAAGGTCGCTGAACACGTTGGGCGAGACAATTTTCGCATCCGGTACTGGAATTTTGAGATGTGTATTAAGAAAAAGTCTTTAAAAAACAACAATAAAAATTCACAAATCGCACTTTAAAAAGTGATTATTTCTTAGAAAAAAGTTTCGCAATTTTTCATCATTAGTAATATTTATAGCTACTACATTGACAAACAAACTGAGCTATCACAGGGGGTACTAGGTTCGTTATATTTTGAAATATTACAAAAAAATCTGTAAAAAAAGAAAACAAAATGTTAAAACTGCGCTTTAAAAGGTGATTATTTTTTAGAAAGAAATTTTCAATCTTTTATCACTAGTACGATACATAGCCTCATTTTTTGCAAACAAAATGTGCGTTGTCGTATATGTAGAAAAAATTTATGTAGATTTTTCGTCAAAACTTTTGAACAAAATTTGGCAATTAAAATAAACCCAAGGCAGAAACACTAATAGCTGTTCAAAAAACTTAAGTTCAACAGGAAATTTTCCCAAATTTTTTTCTGAATTATATTTGTCCTTAATAAATGCCTTCAAAACCCCGTCTTATGCGTAATAAAACTAGGTATAATTTATTAAAATCAACAAAAAAGTGCTGAAGTTATGACCCCTCAACCTCTGAATGCAAATAAAATAAAAATTAAACATAATTTGTCTTAGAGCCTGATTTCTTCTTTTAAAAATATATCGAGATTACTCTGTTGCAAATATTCTGTAGGTCAGTGTTCCGTCCGTGGTCCAAGAATCGAATAAAGCATATTTTTCGATATACTTTTCCTAAGGTTAAAAAATTGCAAGTTTTCAATGCTCACAATACCCTCGCCTATTTTCAGTTTTCATTTGCCTTCTAATCGCGTATTATGTATTCCGTAAACTGCACGTGTTTAAATGACTAATAAAGGATTATTTGTTTGTGTACATTTTTGCACATATATAGAAAAATTTTGCGACGCCAAAATCCAATTCATTCATTCGTTTGAACTGCTGGTCAATAAAAATGGTCCATTCAGAAGTTTTCATGTTGCAACAACACAGAATGCCTTGTAACTAATCTCATTTGACGTTGTTGTTATTTTTCATTACTTTTTTTTTTGGCACTTAAAAGCGTTTCCAAATTGCCGCCTGCTTGTTGGCTCCTGGCTATTTGTTTTCCATTGGCACCGACATTTGCGCGCCTTCAGCGCCAGTAACGCGGCGTGAAATCAATAATCGTATTACCAACGCCAACTTTACCAAGCGACGCTGTTGCCGCAGTGGCGATATGCGCACTGCGATGAATGAACTCACAATCAGTGACGTTTGTTAAGATACTAGTTCGATAGCGAATTGAGTCATTCGCCAAGCAGCTGTGGCAAGAGTGGCAATTGGCAGAGCAGAACAGGCGTCCATTGGACAACGAACAATTTGTCAGTGACAGTGACCG